AGAGAGATATCCAAGTATTCTTTCTACTAGGAATCACATTCTTTTGTTATCAGGTGTTTCTTTTTACATATTATTGTATTTGTGTGGTCTCGTCTTTTGATATCTTTTTCTTGAATTGAACTACCAATGAGTATATGTAAGATTAGGAGACATTTCCTTGCAAGCTCATGCCAATATCTACTTCAAGTATTAAGCGAACTTTCAACTATGGAAATGATTTTCAAACAATAGTGTTTTTTAAAGGTTTTCTTTTGTTTCCTTTTAGGAAGCAGCATCTGTGGAGGGACTATGGATACCAAGGAATTACATTCCAAAACAGGATATATCATACTACAATATCAGTGAAGTATTTAGGAGAATGAAAAGATTAAGGGTACTTGTAGTTAGAGCAACAAATTTCTGCTCTATTGACCCGATTACTCATCTTCCTAGCAGCCTAAGGTGGCTTGATTGGGAAGGTTGCCCTTTAAATTCATTGCCACAGAGTTTTGAACCATCAAAGCTTCTTCGCCTTGATATACTCGAATGTACTACACTTCAGAAACTCTGGTTAATTCCGAAGGTAGGATTGTTACCATTCCTTTCCTTTGGCATTCTTATTCCATATCTTTTAAAGTTAAATCAATCCACTTGCTGAATGTTATCACATAATTATATTTTCCTTCTATTCTAAACAGGGTTTGGACAAACTAAAAACTTTGTACCTCAGCTATTGCGAACACTTGGAAGAAGTTCCAAGCTTTGAGATGATGCCAAATTTAGAGAGAGTAAAGCTAGAGGGATGTAAGAGTTTGAGAGAAGTGAGCCCATACTTTGGAGTTCTCATGAAGCTCACTTCACTGGAGCTAATTGATTGTCAGAGCCTTGAGAAGCTTCCAAGTTATATTCAGATGGAATCCCTTAAGAGTCTCAAACTTTCTTGTCTTCCAAAGTTGAGGGAATTACCAGAAACCAAGGGGTTGCACCGTTTATTGACATTGGAGCTAACTGATTGTCAGAGTCTTGAGATGCTTCCAAGTTGTAATCAGATGGAATCTCTTGTAACTCTCAAACTTTCTTGTCTTCCAAAAATAATGGCTTTGCCGGCAACAGAAGGGATGCACCATTTATTGGAACTTGTTATAGAATATACTCCAATAGTAGAGCTTCCGGTGTCAATTGGAAATCTTGGTTCCCTCAAACAACTACGGTTAAGTCATTGTAAAGATCTGGTAAGCATTCCGAACAGCTTTTCTTGTCTGAAGAATCTAAGAGTTCTTGTGATCTACAACTGCAAAAGACTTGCAGATTTGCCAGAGAAGATGGGTGAGTTGAAGCTTTTAGAAAAGCTAGTAATATCTGGTACTGCAATTTCCCAAATACCCCCTTCAGTTGCAGACCTTGGTGAACTAAGCTTTTTATCATTCTCTCGCTGGTTTGGATACAGAGAAGATGCAACTTTTCTGTTACCCTCTGCATCAGGTTCATCGTCATTTAGGGTGTTAAAGCTTAAGAAGCACACACTATGTAGTGGAGAACATTTTCAGGATCTTGGATGCTTATCTTCTTTGGCTCACTTGGATTTCACTAGAAATGATTTTACGAGTTTCAATGAAAGCAACAATCAGCCCTTTCATTACCTAGATATAACATTTTGTGAGAAGCTTGTATTGCCCAGACTTCCAGCATGCATAAAGGAGTTATATGCATATGATCCTTTAGTCTTGAAAAGCATTCCTGATTTCCCCACCAAATATTCAGAGCTGTATTCAGTGTCATTCGCACAGCATATTGAGAATAGAGGGGAACTGACTGATATCTTGCACTTTGTCCTCCGCTTAATTAGTGCGGCATCTCAGGTATCGCTCTTTCTCTCGCTCGTCATTTTTCTGCTTATTCGATTAAGTTTAAGGAAATGGAGATTGGAGCTTATGCAATTTTCTTTCGTGCAGTGTGAGAAAGTGCTACCATTTAGCATTTTTTTCCCTGGAGATATAAGATGGAGCGGGTTCAATTATTATCGAAAAGAACATACAAAAAGATTCTCCACTCCACTTGATCCATGTTGGTATGAGAGTAAATTCAAGGGATTTGTTATATGCTTTCGTGTACCATTGGATACAGTTCAGAACCAGAAACCTTTGGATGCTAAATCACGAAGAGGAAGTCACTGGTTCGGTTGCACTAAGGTTACAGCTAAGTTGGTGCAAAGATATGACAGGCAAGAACAAGATGTACTCCAGAAAAAATGTTTGATTGTTGCTCGCCAAGCATTTTGCTCTCATAGTAGTAAATATGCCATTTGCTTTTGCTACATACCTTTTCTAGCACTATGGCATACTTCTGATAGTGAAAAGGGGAAGAAGCCAAATGACTATTGCTTCTTTGAGGCATCTATAGACCCAGGAATTGCAACAAAATGGGGACTTCTTCTGGTGCACGAGAATAAAATTCAACAGATAGATCAAGCAACCATCGCGGTCCAACGTGATGTGGAGTCTCCAAGTTCTGACCTGTTGAGAGAATCTAATGATGACCAAGTCCAGAAAATGGAGGATGCTTCTGTTAAGAGAAGACGGCTTGATTTTTGTCAAAGAGATAATATGGTTTCATTTGAAGCTGGCTGCTCTATGAAATTTCAAGCGATGAAGGACTCATGCCCTCCCAGTGAGTTTCAAACTTTCCAAATAATTCCTGATCAACAATTGGAAACACCATGCTCTTCTGCAGCTCAAAGCTTCCAACACAGGGAAGAGTCATGCTCTTCTGGACAGCCACAAACTTTACAGCTCCCTCTAGCTGATTGACAAGTTGATGAAGTGATAAATGAGGCTACCTCCTGCATGGTATTTGAACAACTGGAAGCGCCAAGCTCTTCCGAGCAGCCTGAATCTTTTGAAGTCTCTCCAGATGAGCACAAAGATAATTCAGTGACAAATGGGTCTAGCAGCTCTGAGGTATTCCAAGAATTGGAGGCACCATGCTCTTCTGGTCAACCTCAAATTCTCCAGCTCTTTCCCGAGCATTCATGATTTAGAATCACTAGCAGCCTCTTAATTTGCTGGCGAAAAGGCAAAATATGGCCAGATGTCAAGGTTGACTGAAGCTTTTGGTGAGATCTTATGTTTTTCTGCATGCCTGTTGGGTGTCTCCGTGTCCTTCTCTTTTTGTTCTATCCTGATTCTACTTTGAGGTACTTCTCTTTGGTTTCAATTAATCATGTTTCTTGTAATTCAGGGAGCATTATTTGCTCCGAAGCTGTTATAAGCATATATTCTGGCTGAGAGTTCTCTCTGTTTCGGTTATTTTAGCTTGCATCTTAGCGTGATTTATCTTTCTGCTACCTCTTGTTCAATACATATTAAAATAGGATATATTTCTTTATACCAAACATCCAAATCTATTTTTCCAACAAGGCTCGATTAGCTTCACTGAGTTTCAGCCCTTTGTTGCTCTGCTTCTTTCCTCGAGAGGAAAGAGAAAAAATTCTGTTAAACACCAAAGCTGTAACTCCTTTATCTCCACCTTCATAAGAGCTATTTAGAGAATCTAATGATGAGCAAGGTCTGAAAATGAATACTTTTTTAAGAGAAGATGATATAGTTCTTTGCCCTTTTTAATCTCAATGGCTTTTTTGGATACTGTTGTTTGTTTCCAATTTATCATGCTTCCAGGAATGTAGAGAGCATTTATCTGCTCCTAAACTGTTACAACCAGGATCTTCTTGCTCATCAGAATTATCTCTTTCTATGATATAATTATATTGTTTGCGGTTGCGCAACCTTTGTGCAGTTTATAGTGAACAAAAGTTTAACTAACTTAATTCTTTCTTCTTAACTGGCTTATTCTACTACTATCTAATAAGGGGGGAATAGTAGACGACATGCCTGCCTGACACAAATAAGAGAATTCCTGTCATTATGATAAAATAGAGCGACATGATCCTGCCAAAAAGAGCTTTTGCGTACATAAATTTTTTAGCGCCTTGACGAAATTACCTTTTGCTTATCTCATCAACCATCAACACATTCTTTTTCTACTACTCCCTCTGTTTCAATCTAAATGACACACTTTCTTTATTAATTTGTTCAAAAAAATAATGACATATTTTTATATTTAGGAATAATTTAACTTTAAATTTTTTATTTTATCCACTTTACCCCCTTAATGAGAAGCTTTTATAGCCACAAAAATATCATGGTCGCACAAAGCTTTTGCCCCTTAAGCTTTTAGGATGTATATTTCAAAAGTTTTTTTTTCCCTTAAACTTTATGTCAAGACAAACTATATCGTTTAAATTAAAACGGAAGGAGTATCTAATAAGGGGGAATAGTACACAGGAGGTCAATGCGCCTGGCACAAATAAGGGAAATCCTGTAATTACGATAAAATAGAGCAAGATGATTGGCCGACAAGAGCTGGTACATAAATTTTTTAGTGCCTCATCAACCATCAACACATTCTTCACACAATTTAGCTCCACCGTTTTTCTAACCTATCAAAGGATGTCACCCATACTCAGTTTGAGACATGTTCCTAAATTTGAATTGTTTGAATCTTTTTTCAAATTGACATGCAAAATTTAAGAAAAAGAACATAAACAAAACAAAATCCCAACCAAAACATAGGGGAAGATCCATAATATGCCTGCTAACTTTTAAAACAGTGATAGTGACGGCTGAAGATGAACTTGATGAAATATATAGATATATATTGTATGAGGTAAAATTGATTTATAATAAATGATTGAACATGATAAGTGGAACCGAAGACAGGCAAAAGGCGAATCAAGTAATAATCAGTACCGGGGACTACGATTACACTTGACACCGGATAGGTCCCGAAGGGAACATGGTCAACCGGAACAGATCGAATATTTGTCATTAGATATCATTTAATGAAGAATATTATTTGACATTAATGGGCAGCCGTTACAGAGAATATTTGCATTTATGGCCTGCAGTTATTCATCAATGGCTCATTTATTATCGTTTAATCAGGGCTTGATCCTATGATCTAGTTCTTCTAGGTATAACTATAAATAGCAGGCTCAACAGCCATTGTAGGACATACGAAATTCTGGGCAAAACTTATGTTGTATTCCATTTTCGCTCTCAATAAAATAATTTTATTTGCTCTTTTATATTGCTCTCATTTATGTCCTTAGAGACATTGCTCTCATAGCCAGACTTGTCAACTTCTTCAATTTCATTTGCTAAGTCTTATTTTTAATCTTATTTATTTATTTATCATTTTCGGACAAAATCAGTTCGTTTGTCTATAAACCACGTAATAAATTCAACTGTACCATTTTACAGATAAATAGTTTGGCACCCACCGTGGGGCTTAGGCAGTTACGTAATTGGGTTGATCCTTGCGTCTATTACTAACTTGTTTGATTTTTTTGCTTAGCAAGACATCGAAAATGGCAGATAATGATATCAACATTGCACACAATGTTGAGGGACACAAAAATCTGCCTCAACATGAGGATTCAATCTGCGACACCCGTAACGAAGGGGACGAGGCAACCCAGCCCGATTCGTAAAGGATAATACCCTCAGCATGTACGAGAAGCAACTCCCTATGACGCGAAAGAGGAACACATTGCAGAAACAATTAGAATTCTAAGAGAGCAACATAACGCCATCGTGGGTCACCTTTCAAGACAGGATCAGATGATGACGGAGTTGAAACAAGCACTGTCAAGTGCTTCCAACAACGCCAACGGAAGGGGCTAGGTTCCCCTCGGCGTTCCTGCAAATCAGACGGCTCAAAGAGTTGATAACAATACCCCAAGGGGTGAGGTCGGTTACTACGGTGCCACGGGATCTATAGCGATCTGGTAACGATACGGGAATGATCCCTTCAAAATTGAGGTCATGATATTTATGAGGGAAATGAACGAACTAATGGATCAAAATGCGAAGGAGTTTCACGCTCGAATGGATCAGATTGGGCGTACCACCAGTTTTGAAGGGCCCAGATAAAAAAAAAAACACACCTAGTTGCCGTTTAAATCGAGAGCAGCAACCGAGTTAATTCCGAAAAGGTTCAAAATACCAAACATACCAAAATATGATGGGACTTTGGATCCGCCGGAGCACATCACAACTTATACCACGACTGTGAAAGGGAACAATTTGGCTCAACATGAGATCGAATTCAGTCTGCTGAAGAAGTTTGGCCCTGACATGGTATTCACTCTTACCCGAGCATTTAATTGACTCTTTCAAAATGCTTGCAGATTCATGCATTAAGGCCTATGTTGGGGCTAGAAAGGTCCAAGCCAGAAAGTCAGACATATTCAGGATTACATAAAGTGAGTTCAAATTGTTGCGGGAATTCATGATCAGATTTTCAAAAGAGAGGATGCTGCTACCGGTCGTACAAGACGAGTGGGAAATGGAGGCGTTCGCAAAGGGTTTGAATCCAAGGAGCTTAGACGCCTCCCGAAAGCTGAAGGAAAGCCTGCTCGAATTCCAAGCGACTACATGGGGGAACGTGCATAACCCTTACGAGTCTAAAATAAGGATAGAAGACGTCAACCAAAGGACGAGACCGAGACAAGAACCAGGATAAGTACAAAAACAATTTTGATGTGTACCGGCGATCTTCTAAAGGTCGTTTCTTGCCATACGAGAGAACCAAAAGATGCGGCAGCAAAGCATTTCAGTCCTCGGATAGGTTCGTTCCTGATCGAAGAACTGATCATGGCCGGAACAACATATCTTTACAAGAAAAAGAAGTATCGGGGTCCGGGAATTCCACTTATCCCAGATTGTTGAATTATAATTTCAACATCAGCATAGTGAAGTTGGTATCAGCGATGAGGAATATCAAAGAAGCACGATTCCGAAGTCAATCAGATCCGATCCCAACCAGAGAGATCCTAACTTATGGCGCGAATATCATGGGACTCATGGCCACAGAACTGAGGACTGCCGGCATCTGCGTGAAGAGGTAGAGACGTAGTTGAAGAATGTCCATCTCAGGGAGTTCTTTAGCGACCAGGCCAAGAACAATTATGGCCATATCCGGGACAATGCAGAGCCTTCAAATATAGCAGAAGACTCTCCTCGGTTGACTATCAACATAATTTCCGGAGGGAATGAAGTTAATGGCGTAACCTTCTCAGCGGCCAAGAAAACAAAGATATCAGTGACCCACGACAAGAGAATTTGGGAAGTTGCAGAAGATGATATCAACTTCACGGAGGAAGACACCGACAGACTTCTTCTGCCACATAATGACGGCCTGGTAATTTCTCTCAATGTCTTAGATTTTAAGATTAAGCGTGTTTTGATTGACCCAGGAAGCTCAACCAACATCATTTAATGGAGAGTGCTGGAACAAGCAAATTTAACTGGAAGCACCATTCCGACAACAAAACTCCTCGCTGGGTTCAACTTGGAAAGTGTGACAACCCGATGAGAGATCTTGCTACCCAAGAATGCCGAAGGGGTAACCAAGACTACCTTATTTGAAGTAGTAGACGGCAACATGGGTTGCAACATAATCCTCGAAAGATCGTGGATATATGAGATAAAGGTTGTGTCCTCAACGTATCATCAACTATTGAAATTCCCAACACCGGAAGGAATCAAGCAGATAAGGGGAGATCAACCGGCAGCAAGAGAAATAAACTCAGTGTCAATTTCCAACAGAAAAGGGAATGAACTCAATAAATAGCAATTACAAGAATCAACGCCTTCTCCCTTTCCAAATGAAGATAATAAAGACAAGGAGTCGTCGGAATCCCACCAGGTGCCGAGTACTTTCAGGTACCGAAGGAGACAGATGCAACCACGTCCACTGCAAAAGAACTCGAGCAAGTGGCTTAATTCAAAAAATTCTTGGAAAGGAAGTTTCACTTGGGAACCGGACTCAATCCCGAACTCAGGTCAGGATTTATTAATTTTCTTAAAGCTAACATTGATTGTTTTGCATGGTCGCACTCGGATATGACAGGTATCCCATTAGAGGTGGTCATGCACAAGCTAATCTTGGACCCAAATTTCCCATCAATAAGGCCAAAGAAACTCCAATAGCCGAGGTCAGAAATAGGTTTATTAAAGAAGAGGTAACCCAACTACTCGACATCGATTAAATCCAGGAGGTAAAATATCCAGAATGGTTAGCTAATTTAGTTGTAGTTCCAAAGAAGAATAACAAGTTTAGAATGTGTGTATATTACAAGAATTTAAATAAGGCGTGCCCTAAAGACTCGTTCCTATTTCCAAACATTGATCAAATGATTAATGCTACGGCATGAGTTAATGATTTTTCTTGATGCCTACTCCGGGTACAATCAAATCAAGATGAAAC